CTGCTAAGAACTTTGACCCGGTGAAGTACTCTGGGAGATGGTTTGAAGTAGCTTCTCTTAAACGTGGATTCGCTGGTCAAGGCCAAGAAGACTGTCATTGTACTCAGGTACATAGAGAAGAACAAATAAAACAATCTTTGAGTTCATTTAGAAWTAAGAAATATTCATAAACTACTTTTTCACCCCGTTGTTGCAGGGCGTATACTCGTTTGATATGAAGGAAGGAGCTATCAAAGTAGATACATTTTGTGTTCATGGTAGTCCTGATGGGTATATAACAGGAATCAGAGGAAAAGTTCAATGCGTTGGTGCGGAAGATTTGGAGAAAAGCGAGACTGATTTAGAAAAAAGAGAGATGATTAAAGARAARTGTTTCCTTCGATTTCCCACGATTCCTTTCATTCCCAAGTTACCTTATGATGTAATAGCTACSGACTACGACAACTACGCTCTTGTTTCTGGAGCCAAAGATAAAGGCTTTGTTCAGGTGATTCAAGAAAAAGTAACTCATGTTGGGTTTGAATGTATGTAGCAWTCTCTTATATGACTTCATTGTGTTTGATATGTTAGGTGTATTCCAGGACGCCGAATCCAGGTCMTGAGTTCATAGCTAAGTACAAGAACTATTTAGCGCAATTTGGATATGACCCGGAGAAAATAAAAGATACTCCACAGGACTGTGAAGTGATGTCTGATGGTCAGCTTGCTGCCATGATGTCTATGCCAGGTATGGAGCAAACGCTGACAAACCAGTTTCCAGATCTTGGWTTGAGAAAATCAGTGCAGTTTGATCCTTTCACAAGTGTGTTTGAAACTTTGAATAAACTTGTTCAGCTCTATTTCAAGTAGACCAGCTTCATTAGTTCAAGGTTTTGAGTGTATATAATAATACCTCTTATTAATATTGTGAATTTATCTCTTTCATATACCTATCCAGTATTGTGAAATGTGAATAATAATATTGCAAATGTGACTTTAAACTTTTGAAATTGTAAGAAAAAAGTACACAGCAATGTTGTAGTAAGTTCTGGACAAGTTACACTTGAAAGAAACAAACTTTGAAAGGAGAGAAAAACACCATTGTCATTTCTACGAAGCTTTCTTCTGCTTGTACTTAGCAGCAGAGAAGAAGTAAATTGACATGTTCACAAGGCTAAGACCAGCCAAAAGCCAGAAGAAGTAATCGAGATGACCTGAATTCAGATTATCCGAAATCCAACCTGAATTCAGAAAGGTAAAGTCAACAAAAGATAGAGATTAAAAACGTTTAATACGTAGTTCTGGGTTTTTTCGGTTTAAAAGACATAATTCAGGGTTTGTTTGACCGTTTTCCCAATTTAAATTCAGTACATTGTTGTTGACTTGTTGTTCATCATGTGACCAAAAACAATTAAGCCGATTGTTCAAAAGACCGAAATTTCCAATGCCAAAATAAATGCCCACAACTTTCAGTTGTTAACACAAAGACCTATAACTTTCAATTTGTAACACAAAGGCCCCATATTGTAATTTTTTTTTTGAATACAAAAGTCTCCATGGCGCT